AAATTATTTCATCACGACTGTCACCAAAACCAAATTAATTTCTTGGATAGGAAAGCATGGCTAAGTTGGTAATTGACTGAGACATTGGCCTCGTGTGTTATCTGTGGTTGTGTTTTATTAAACTTGTGTTTACAGAAATGGAAAAAAACTAACTTTTCCTACAGTTTGGTGTATTCATAGCAAAATATGGATAGAAATCACCTCTGGAATCTTGATGAACAAGGCCTTTAGTGGTTCATTGGTGTAGAATGAATATTAATTTAGGGAAATAGGTCTATAAGTCAAGAGGGATACAGAAATGTCATAAGGCTTATTCATAATCACAATATTTTTCAGATATTTTCCACGTTAAATCTGAAATTTTAATTTCTTAGATAAAAATCTCTTATTTTTGAAGTATTTTAACTTTTGTTTTGATGTGTAAAATTTCTATTTCATTTCTCTCTTTTAGGGTTGAGATTTCCTAAGTGTGTGATATCCGCCTCTTAATAAAAGAGGATCTATGTATTTCAAAAATACTTTTATTCCCAGTATTTCTGTTTTGTTTTATTTTTTGTTTTTGGAGTCAGAGTCTCGTTCTGTCACCCAGGCTAGAGTGCAGTGGTGCGATCTTGGCTGACTGCAGCCCCTCCCTCTCAGGTTCAAGAGATTCTTGTGCCTCAGCCTCCCGAGTAGCTGGGATTACAGGCATGTGCCACCATACCCAGCTAATTTTTGTATTTTTAGTAGAGACAGGGTTTTGCCATGTTGTCTAGGTTGGTCTGTAACTCCTGGGCTCAAGTGACCGGCTGGCCTCAGCCACCAGGCCTGGCCTGTTTCCAGTTTTTATTCTTATTTTTAAACTTCATCTTGGAAATAAAACTTAAAAAAAAAAAAGGCAGTAGCTGCTGAATTCTTTTAGGAACTCTATGGAGTTCAGGTTCCTGGTCTATTTAGCCGTAGCGGAATTTATGAAAGTCTAAAACATTAATGATGCCTAAGAGGCAGGCTGCCTCACTGAGATGAATGCTTTGCCTGGCCTGATAGCAGAATTAACGAAAATTGAAACTTCAGCATTTTGAAGATCACTGGGGTATCATTTTGTATGTGTTCAGAATAGTTCATGAATAATGTTTAGATGGAGTCCATATAAACCCAATTCATGATAGAGTGGAAAAATTTTTATATACAGAAAACTGTTGTAGCTAGATAGTAAAAGAGGATATATTTAACTGTTTATAGTAGGCAACAGAAGGCACTGTGAAAAAGTCCAGTGAAAACAATGTTAGGAGTGCTTCTTGTCCCCTTTTTATACAACTAGAAAATGCAAAGCAAAAGTAACTTTGATTACATATGCCAAGGATCTACTCTTATGGTATGTGTTTTATATCTGCCATAACAGACTGACGTAGCATCTTTCGCTGTCAAACTGAGTTAGCTGGGGTACATACCATGATGGTTTCAATGCTATTTTGCCGTTAATAAGGCATTTACAAACACTATAATAAGGACTTCTAGTGTGTACTACCAATCCTTTCAGATTGCTGCTTTGCATGCATCAAATTCTGTTTATACAGTGGTATTATCCAGAGTGGATAGGGAAAATGATCTAAAAAGTCAGGATTTTTTTTTTCCCATTCACAAGTAGAATCCTTCTCTCTAGTGAGATGAGTCAGCATTTCAGAGTGGAAATTTCTGATGTGCAAATAGACCCAAGATACCTATAAAATGGGGTCCCTCAAAAAGGTGAAAAGTACAATGAATTTGCATGTAACTGTCCTTGGATTCCTTTAGGTACAGGAAATGAGTGATGAGTAGTGGACTCGGGAACTGTAACTAACCTCTTTTATGTATAGTCTATTTTTAGAGTGCAGTAAAAGGTGAAGAAAGTGCTTTGTGACAGTTTCCCATGTGCAAGAGATATTCATGAAATAAAATATTTTTTACATGGGACTCGTGTGTGTGTGTGTGTGTGTGTGTGTGTGTGTGTGTATGTGTATATAATCACCTGGCCTCAGGCGATCCTCCTGCTTCAGCCTCCCAAGTAGCTGGGACTATAGACATTTGCCACCATGCCCAACAAAGATTGGTTGGCTTTTATTCATTGTTTTAAAAATAAGAAAAAAAACCCCAGCTTTTACAAAACCTCTAGAATGTAATTTCTTTCTGATTTTAACTCTCAATCTCTTGTGTTCTTTGTCCATCAAGTAAGAATTCTTTCTACATCAACCTTTCAAAGTGAGATTCAAAACAATATTGAAATCATTAAAACTCTTCCCAAGAATTACAACAATTGCATAATAAAACATTTGATATATGGAACAACAAATAAAATAGATTTAGCCAAAGACTGATTTTTGAAAGGAAACTTCAGGGAACCTCCCAAAATATTCATATGTAGAATATACAGTATAACTGATTAATGGATAATTTGGGAAATAAGAGATTTGGGGATTAAGATCTGTGAAGACCAATGTCTTTCTAATAGGATTTCCAGAGGCAGGTGATAGTTAAGATAGAGGGGTGGAAATAATCAATGAAATGATAAAAGCATTCTTTACAAAGCTGAAAAAAACCTTGTAATTTTTCAGATTGAAAGGGCTCGCTATGTATTGGATCACATGATTTAAAAAAGTAAAAAACTCAATTATTCCTAGTAAAATTTTAGGACTCCACGGAATAAAAAAATATATATGCCTACATATTCCCCTAGAGGGAAAAAAATAAGTGACAAAACATCCAGGAACTGGACTGAAATCAAATTTCTCATAAGCAGCATTTAATTCCAGAAGATCATGGAACAGAACTTTTAGAGTTCTGAAAGAAAATAACTTTGAACCAAAAATCTCATGTAGCCAAAGCTATTTGCTAAGTAAGAAGGCAATGATACTCAAATATGCATGAATATAAGCTATTTATTATATAATTATCTAGGCTTCTTATATGAAAAAATATATATGAGGAGTTTCTCCAATGAAATGGTAGAGGAATCCAAGAAAGAAGATAATCTGAGGTGTAAGAATTGCAGGTAAAGTGAAGAAAAGCAAAAAAATTAAAATGAAATCTACTTGACTTTGACTCTTGGGATATTTTCTTTCAAACAGGAGAAGTTGAATGGCATAGGATTGCATTTCCTCCTCTGTGGAGCTGTTCCACAATACTTAGTTCTGCAGTGAGTAATAGATATATAATTATAATATTGTAAATGCTGCCTGTTGATTCTCAGTCTCCAAAAATCAGCTGAGAAAGCACAGAGGACTGGGATCTAGTTATGGAATAGAATTTAATGGCTTAAAAATAAACACTGACAGTGTAAAATAATGCTATAACAAAAATCAAGAAATAAATATAGGAATGCATCGTTGAAACCTGGCCAGGTGTGGTGGCACACTCCTATAATCGCAGCACTTTCGGAGGTTGAGGCGGGCAGATTGCTTGAGCTCAGGAGTTTGAGTCCAGCCTGGGTAACACGACAATACCCATCTCAACAACAGCAACAAAAACAACTACTGAGGAGGCTGAGGTGTGAGGATTGCTTGAGCCTGGGAGGTTGAGGCTGCAGTGAGCCAAGATCATGCCACTGCACTTCATCCTGGTCAACAGAGCAAGACCTTGTCTTAAAAACAGAGAAGGAAACCCCAGTGGTGTCTATCAGAAGAATGAAAAAACAGAAGATACTCTTAGAAAATTTTATCACCCAGGAAAGAGTGTATTAGGAAAAGGAAAATTTTCAATACTTAAAAAAAATGCATGTATTACTTTCCCAGTTTTAAGAAAAGCTTAAACTTTTAAATAGTGCTTTAATCAGTAGGGGATTGTTAAATTACTTTTTTTTCTAATACTGCAGCAGGTAAAACAACTGCAGGAGATTTCTTTGTGTACTGAAATCAAGTTTTAAGTGAATACAGTAAACTAAGTCACAGTATAGTATGGATGGCATGATCTAATTCAGTTTAAAATGCTTTTGTATATATTCATGTGGCAAAAAGTCTAGAAGTCTATTCTCACTTCAACTTTTTAAAGTTCTATACGTACTGGAGGTTTACAGGGGCTTTTAAAAAGTCATTTAAAAGTTACAATAATAAATATGTTTTGAAAAATGAGACTGAAGCCCAGAATCGGGGAGGGAGTGACTCACCTGAGATTAACCAGGAAGCTCATGGCAGAGTTAGGACTAAAATCCAGCCGGAAGAGATGTTACAAAGCCTTGGGAAGTTTTAGTTTTCCCCCTTGAATTTCCAGCAGCCCTCCTAAGCCACCTCTAATAATAACTAATAAAACAGTAATGATAAGTATGTTAAATTTAAATTTAAATTTAAATGTGAAGTATGAGTAAAAATATCTTTGGGGAAAAAAGTCTGTCTTCCTCATATCTTGCTTGGGGGCGATGATCCAGAAAGGCTTAATAAGGGGAAGGTATCTACTGAGAAAAGCCTTGAGCAACAGGCATAGTTTTTTGATAGACTGAGATGGGAGTGGAGCTGTGACCAGCTATATCAGGGAGTATGAGGGAACACACATAGAGAACATGTATGCCAAATGAAGTCTTTTCTGCTCCTACTCATGTTTCTGTCACAAGAATTAATTCATATAGAATTGACAAATAGGGGGATGCTATTAAGGTGACCATCTCTTTGATTTATTGAGTGATTTTTCTTGATGTATTAATGGTTTTCTTTATCAAGTAGTAGCAGCTAAATCCAAAGTGCAGTCAACACCAGCACAGCCCAGCAAGGTGGAGGCATGGAGGAACACAGTGAGCCCGAGACCCGTTATCTCTCGTTTGGTTTGGTCATAGTTATTCCCAGTCTTTGTGCGTTTTCAGAATTTAGTTGCCTTTCTTACAGCCTTCTTTCAAGCTACTTTAACTTTTAAACGTATAGTTGGCTGGGCATAGCGACTCATACCTGTAATCCCAGCACTTTAGGAGGCTGAGGTGGGTGGATTGCGCTAGACCCGGAATTCGAGACCAGCCTGGGTAACATAGGGAGACGCCGTCTCTATAAAAACATTAAAAAATTAGCCAGGTGTGGTGGGATGTGCCTATAATCCCAGCTACTGGGAGGCTGAGGCAGGAGGATTGCCTGAGCCCAGGAGGTTGAGGCTGCAGTGAGCTATTACTGCCCCAGGGCACGCCAGCCTGGACGATAGTGTGAGACGCTGTCATTCATTCATTCATTCATTCATTTATCCATAAATAAATAATTAAATGTATAGTTATTTATCGTAATATTTCTTTATTAAGAATTAAATGTCTTTTAAAAATGGTGTTAGTTTTAAAAATTATTACTTTTTTAGGGATTTGGTTATAATATTGTATGGGGTCTCAGTGTTCTGCCTTATGAGCCCTCATGTTCTAAAATTTTATATACCATGTTTTTCAGGGATGTGTATATCCAATTATTATAAGTCTTTCCTCTGTGGAGTAGTGCTTTCTGTGATGATGGAAATGTTTTATATCTTGTTTCTAGTATTGTAGTCATTAGCCATATGTGGCTGTTTAAGTTCATTAAATTAAATAAAAAATTCAGTTTCTCAGTTGCACTAGCCATATTTCAGGTGCCCAGTAGCCACTCAGTGGCTCATGATTTCCACAGACAGCACAGCTGTAGAGAGAGCTGAGAGCTTGTAAGGGTCTGTGAACCCCTTGAAAAGACCCCACGGGCTGTTTCCCCAGCCCTCCCCTTCCTGGAGGAGAGGTTAGGAATTTGCTCTAGAAGAAAAATTCAAACAGAGGTTCTAGCATAACGTGGGGCGTATGGAACGCTGGGGAGGGAAGCTGTGTTGTGAAGTGGTACTGCTGTGGGTCTGAGACTGCCTGCGAGCTGGAGATGGCTCACCCGGATGTCTTCCTGTCTGTCCACCTACCTGTCTATCTAGTCATCCTGCAGAGCCTTACTGTTGCCCAGCTGAGACCCACAACTGTGTTTATCTTTATAGTTATGTGTTCCTAACCGGATTATAAGTAAGAGAGTGGGGTTGTATTTTATAATTCTACATTCTCCACAATGGATAACACTTTTGCAATGTATTTAGGAAGGATATAGTTATCTGGCTAGAAGGTGATGTATTATTTATATTCCAGTAGAAATTGAGAATAATTCTTCAATTTTGGGGAACTGGAGTGACTAAATATAGGGTGGTTAGGTCAGAAACTAATATAGGATTTATGACACTTTCCAATTACAATGGGGAAAGCTCTGTTAACTCATGTTTTTTCTTCTATGATTGTATGCCTTCTGCCTCAACCTTATACTTAGAGGCAGGTCTATTAGTGAAATGTTTGACTTTTAGTTTTACTAAGTTAGTAGCTCAAAAGACCTACTAGTTTTGATACTAGGAGAATAGGAACCTAGTGCAAAGTAAAACGTGAGTCCATTTTGTAAGATTTGGTTTAACGCCACATTCCACTTTTCAGTAATCTGTGCATTTTCACACCCACTCCTGCTTTCTCCTTTTGAACTGAAGCAATCTCATGGGTAATAACCTGATTTTCCTTCCTTTGTACAGGTTTTAGTCACTCCTTATGTTGCTTTTGAATTGGTTTAAATAGATATATTTAAATACAATATATAATTCTAGTTACAAATTGTGTAGTTACAGAGGTTTATTGTCTAGCTTTAACTGATTTGCATATATTATTTTTAAATTAACATTTACAGTGTAGCATGGTTTATTATGCTAGGTGATTAGCGTTTCTTGCAAGTAAAATGCAATATTCTATTATATGAAATATTTTAAGATACTCAAATGTAAAATACATAATGGCATGGATAGGCCAATAGCCATCACAGTGTGAACTGAAGGAGTGCTTCTCCTCTGCGTGGTATGTGGTATATGTTCTTTCCTCTGTGAGGTATATGGTATATGTTCTTTCCTCTGTGAGGTATATGGTATATGTTCTTTCCTCTGCGTGGTATATGGTATATGTTCTTTCCTCTGTGAGGTATATGGTATATGTTCTTTCCTCTGTGAGGTATATGGTATATGTTCTTTCCTCTGCGTGGTATATGGTATATGTTCTTTCCTCTGTGAGGTATGTGGTATATGTTCTTTCCTCTGTGAGGTATATGGTATATGTTCTTTCCTGTGTGTGGTATATGGTATATGTTCTTTCCTCTGCGTGGTATATGGTATATGTTCTTTCCTCTGTGAGGTATGTGGTATATGTTCTTTCCTCTGTGAGGTATATGGTATATGTTCTTTCCTCTGTGAGGTATATGGTATATGTTCTTTCCTGTGTGTGGTATATGGTATATGTTCTTTCCTCTGTGTGGTATATTGGTATATGTTTTCTTTCCTCTGTGAGGTATATGGTATATGTTCTTTCCTCTGTGTGGTATATGGTATATGTTCTTTCCTCTGTGGTATTGGTATATTTTTTTCTTGTGGTATATGTTCTTTCCTCTGTGAGGTATATGGTATATGTTCTTTCCTCTGTGAGGTATATGGTATATGTTCTTTCCTCTGTGAGGTATATGGTATATGTTCTTTCCTCTGTGAGGTATGTGGTATGTGTGGTATATGTATATGTTCTTTCCTCTGTGGTATATGGTATATGTTCTTTCCTCTGTGTGTGGTATATGGTATATGTTCTTTCCTTTGTGGTATATGGTATATGTTCTTTCCTCTGTGAGGTATATGGTATATGTTCTTTCCTCTGTGAGGTATATGGTATATGTTCTTTCCTCTGTGAGGTATGTGGTATATGTTCTTTCCTGTGTGTGGTATGTGGTATATGTTCTTTCCTCTGCATGGTATATGCTATATGTTCTTTCCTCTGTGTGGTATATGGTATATGTTCTTTCCTGTGTGTGGTATATGGTATATGTTCTTTCCTCTGTGTGGTATATGGTATATGTTCTTTCCTCTGTGTGGTATATGGTATATGTTCTTTCCTCTGCGTGGTATATGGTATATGTTCTTTCCTCTGTGACGTATGTGGTATATGTTCTTTCCTGTGTGTGGTATATGGTATATGTTCTTTCCTGTGTGTGGTATATGGTATATGTTCTTTCTTCTGTGAGGTATATGGTATATGTTATTTCCTTGGTGTGGTATATGGTATATGTTCTTTCCTGTGTGTGGTATATGTTCTTTAAAGGGAGCAGCCACTGCTTCCCACCTCATTGAAATTCACACTGCATCCAGCACTACTGGAAAACTAATGAAAATGCTGGGACTACAGGGCTTTATTTTACTGTTGAGAATTCTCAGTGGTTACAGTATTATGTAGTGCCTAATTCTCCTGGTGTCGCCTTCTTTTTAAATAGTGATTTTTATTTTCAGTCCAGTGATCCATTTCATTCATTAACCCCCTAACCACTGAGTAAGCTTCATGTCACAAAAGAGCTTCCAAAGGAAGAATCAGGCATTGGATTTATTATAAATATAGATGTTCTAATTATTCCCGAATTGCAATGTATGTAGTCTCATTTGCATTAAAAACTATGGCTTTTAAGTTAGACTCTGAAAGGATCAAAGTGCTGCAATGAGAGAATGAATGCTGTGCTTCTCCTGGACTGTGATCTCAAGTGTTCCAGCCGTCACCATAGCAAAATTAGGCTCCATTTCCTAAAATCTCTTCAGTGCCCCCAAGGAAAAACTAAACTGGAGCATAAGGATTTTCATGTCACTTTTCCCCCTTTTGTTTGATTTCCTCTCCTTAACATAAAATCAACACTGGTTGTGCCCTTCCTTTTGAAACATTGATTTGCTGTGAGAAGTTGGCTCATATTGGATCATGCATGTAATCTGTACAGATTTGTACCCAAAGCAGTGATTAGCATTCACGCCATGGCTTTTTGTGTCAAGTGCTGTTTCTGGTGAACAACTGGAGCCTCAGATGACTTAAGGCAGTTTTGAAATGTAAGAGATGTTATCTCTAGGATATTATGAAGTATTTCGTGATGTTATTTTGATTTTTCCCTTGCAGTTTAAAGAAATTTCTTTTTTCTGTGTATCCATTGGAATGTGTGTGTACATTATAGCAATGACCAGAAAGTAATTTTTAACATGTCGTTTATAGTTACTATGTAGAAACTTGTCTGAATACTGTAAAAAATTATTGGTGCATAAAATCTGTTATATTACATGCTTTTATGTATTACACTCTTCCATATAGTAGGGATATCTATTTCCTTATTTTATTATATGGATCTATTGCTGATGCTGATATCTACTGCCCAGTGACTACAGAAGCTCCTTTCTGGACAACCTGTTTATTACGCTCTCCATGTGTCCACAGCTAAATCAAAAAAGCAGGAAACAAGAGAAAACGTACCTCTTTGAAAGTGGCATGTCGGCTGGGATGAGAGAGAAGAGTAAGAATGATGGATAGTTTTAGAGAATAAAAGACTGCTCTCAGGAGTGAATGAAGACAAGAATCTGAGCACATCAAATACCATGCTTAGCAGAAACCCACAGAACTCACTGGCCAAGAGTATACTAAGTCTGGAATTGGAAAAATTCTCTGGGATAGAATATATTGGAGACTTATCTAAATGGAAGTATTTAGTTGAAAATGTACATCATATGATAAATAGTTCTATCAAAGTTAGGAAGCTGAGTAACGGAGACAGATACTACCGTGAGAGAAACTGATTTGCTCTACGTATGTATTAGAACTGCACTATCAAATACGATAACCCGCGGCCACATTTGACTGCTTAAATAATTAAAATCAAATTAAAAATTAAGTCCTTCTCTTGCACTAAACACATTTCAGCTGCTCAACAGCCATGTGTGGCCAGTGGCTACCATATTAAATGGTGCTGATAAAAAAGATTCTATTATTGCAGAAAGTTCTATAGAACAGTTCTGCTCTGGGAGAATTTCTTCTCAATCAAGAGAGGCACAAGGATTATGATACTATTCTTTGATAAAAATAAGTCCAACAAGCAGGTTCTGATGGTGTGCGACTGTAGTCCTAGTTACTTGGAGGCTTAGGCAGCAGGATAGCTTGAGCCCAGAAGTTCAAGTCTAGCCTGTGTGGTACCTTGGACTGACTACTGGATCTCTCCAAATTTAGCAGGGCACAAGATAGGGCAGCATTCTAGCCTAACTCCTGGTTCTCTCTTCCCTTTTCCATTTTCCTTAGGTTGTCATTTCCTATGTACTTCTTTTAAAATGTATGTTCACTTATTTTCTTGAATGTGTTTATGCAAACTAAATCTTTCTGGTGGGCAAGTGCGGATTAAAGGGAAATGGCCTATTCTTTCTCTTTCTGCCTTTGTTTCCCTACATGTGAAAAAAAGATTGATGTCGTTTGAGAATTAATGAATTGATCACTTGGAGCAATTGTAAAAATGTCGAGCATTATATACAGAATAGCACATAGTTCAGAAGAAAACCAGGTCACGGCTTTAGGAAAAGTCATGGTTCCTAAAAGTTTGGTGAATTACCAGATTAGAAAATCTTCACACATTTATCAGATTAGCGTTTAAATACTGTGATATTAAAAGTTGTCATGTAATTGGATAATGTGAAGTTTGTGCCTCACTTTTGGGGTCCACCTGCTTAACACTTGGAAAAATCTTTAAGGCCCAGATTTTTAGAGCTGAAGGTAGATAAAAGTCTGTTTTAGGTTTAATGTTTTAGGAAGACGTTAAAATACTTCTAGTATCTTGCCATTTTCTGAACACCTCAAAATACTTGAAAGGCATGTGCTGTGATTTGAATGTTTGTCCCTCCAAAATGCATGTTGAAATGTAATTGCCACTGTATCAGCATTAACAGGTGGAACCTTTAAGAAGTGATGAGGCTGTGAGAGTTCCATCCTCATGGGTGGGATTGGTGTCAATATAAAAGGTGAATTCAGCCCCCCTTGTTGTATCTCGACCCTTGTCTTCTGTCACGAGATGACACAGTCAGAAGCCCTTTGCTGGATACCAGCACCTTCCCAGCCTCCAGAACTGTGAGCCAATTTGTTTATCATAAATTTCCCAGTCTGAGGTATTTTATTATAACAGCAAAAACAGACTATGATAGTGTGTTATTTAACTTTGCATCTTCTCTATAAGATGAATAAAGGCCAATTGTAAACATTATCCTTCTATAAAGAGAGTTTCAAAATTTTAATTTCAATAGGATTAAGTAAATTATTGGTATTATTTTGTTCAGTGGCAGGTAGACTGAAACATTGTAACACCTTCTATCACAAACTTATTCTACAGGTTATTACTAATTATTTGACTTAAATAGACACTAATCTCTTTTTTTTTTTTTAAATTAGTAAGACAAGTGGATTTCAAAGAATTACTGCAGGATGATAAGATGAGGAACAAAAACCAAATGGAGAGTTTCTCAAGAGAACGATAGTGTAGAATTTTTGAAAGTGAGCAAAGAAAATTTATTAGGTGATATTCTAACATTGTTTTTATAATGAATTTAATTTTAAAATAAATGAAGAACTAATCGAACATTTAGAGTAATAGTCATCCTTAGTGAATGGTGAAACAAGTAGTGTAGCTTTATTTGTAGAAATTGTTACAGCCCATTACATTGTTATTCATGGTCTAAATGAAGTGAAGTGTAGCTTCAAAATTTATATGAAAATGTAAAAAAAGTTGGTTCAAAAATTCCACTTTATCTATTTATTCATTTTTAGTTTTGTCATCCCAAAGATGTTCTGATTTTTGTCCCAAGGATGATGGGAACTTCTTAAAGCAATGGAAGTATCTAAAAATAACATACCTACTAAAAAAAAAAAAAAGGCTTTTTTTTTTTTTTTTAGAAAAAACATTGTATTTAGATGATGGAGGTTTGGTTTTTTGTAATAAAGTGATGGTGCTGCTGGCAGCAGCTTGTTGTCTCTGAGAAACTGCTACAGAAAGGAGTAGCAGTAGAATAAAGAGTTTGAACTTCTTAATCAAAGGATCCTAGATTGTCACTTCAGCTACCATGAAATGTATCTATTAATAGATATTAAAAAGTTATGGCTGTTTCGGGTTTTATGCTGCTGTCAGCTTGGTCTATAGGCAATGGACCAGGAAAGAGATCAGGGCCAGTGCCACCAACTATTGCTAAAAAAGGCAACAAAGGAGAGTGGAAATCAGAACCAGTTACTTGATTTTCTTATGCCTCAAAATGTTGGAGCCTCGCGTAGGAGTACCACACAGTCCATTATTCTATAAACTTTGTGTTGTCTTAAAAAGGACACAATCCCGAGAGTCCTACAAGATAAACTTTTAATGATAATTAAACATGGAAGCCAGTTAAATTGCCCTGCTTTAGAGCCTTCTGAAGTAAACGTTAAAATAAGGAAATGTGAGGCCGGGCGCGGTGACTCATGCCTGCAATCCCAGCACTTTGGGAGGCTGAGGCAGGCGGATCACTCAAGGTCAGGAGTTTGAGACCAGCCTGGTCAACATGGTGAAACCCCATTTCTACTAAAAATACAAAAATTAACCAGGCATAGTGGCTTGTGTCTGTAATCCCAGGTACTTGGGAGGCTGAGGCTGGAGAATTGCCTGAACCCGGGAGATAGAGGTTGCAGTGAGCCGAGATCTGCCACTGTACTCCAGCCTGGGTGATGGAGTGAGACTTTGTCTCAGAAAAATAAAGAATAAAAATAAAATAGGGAAATGTGGTGTTAGGTACATGTAAATAACATAGCTTGTGATGCCAAATCTAGTTTATGAAAATATTTATCACAGATTTTTAGAGATCGATGAGACCTTAGGAAATTATTTGAATAATTATGTAGAAACTAGTATTATTTTCATGTTATGCATATAGGTATGAGTAGCTGGAGAGGTTAGTGATTCCGATCAAGTTCAAACTGTTAATAAGATGCTAATGGGACCCAGTTCTCCACCCAGAATCTTAGGACGGAGTTTCATCCACCACTCAAAGCTGTCTTCTTCTTCGTCTTTTTTTTTTTTTTTTTTTTTGAGACAGAGTCTTGCTGTGTCGCCCAGGCTGGAGTGCAATCTCAGCTCACTGCAAGCTCCGCCTTCCAGGTTCAAGTGATTCTCCTGCCTCAGCCTGCTGAGTGCTGGGACTACAGGCGCCCGCCACTACACCCAGCTAATTTTTTGTATTTTTAATAGAGACAGGGTTTCACCATGTTTTCCAGGATGGTCTTGATCTCTTGACCTCTTGATTCACCTACCTCGGCCTCCCAAAGTGCTGGGATTACAGGCGTGAGCCACCGCGCCTGGCCAAAGTTGTCTTCTTTAATCCTCCTGAGGGCCCCCCAGTTCATGAGCTGAAATTAAAGCATAGACAGGTAGATCACACAGCCAGCACTTCCCAAAACAGAAACTTAGTTTTCTAGTAGAAGAAAAAGTGAAAACTACATCCAACCATGTATTGTGATGTGTTCTCGTGAAATTATTCCCCGCTTCACCTCAGGGTCTACCATTTGACTGTGAAATATATGGGAAGTTGGACTAGGTTAATATTCTTCATGATCGAAGACTGTTTGAATTATTGAGGTATAGAGTTTAATGTGTCAAAAATCACAAGCATTTACTAAAGATTAATTATCAATATTAAAATTAGGGAGAATAAATAACTTCATCTAATACTCTAATAATGCTAAATAAATTCAAGAGCAGATTTTGAAACCAAGGAAGATGAACTAGATGATTTATAAGGTCTTCTTGAGCTTTAAAGTTCATAATGAAAATTATTAAATACTTTTGGTTTTAATGTCTTTCATAGAAAATACATTTAATTCTGTTGCCTTTTTGGAGTACTTGCACATCTCCACTTTATTCAGAGGTTAGTATGATATTCTTGGAGCAGAGTTGCTCTTTATTCCAAATGTAGATTTAAAAATCAAAATAACAAAGGTGTAAAAAGACTGGAAATGATTCTGTTTCCCAGTTCCACTCTAACCCATATTTGAAGGAAAGTGGACACATCAAAAATGTGTGATCTTTATGTGTAAACATTAACACAAAGGGTGGCAGATGCTACAGTGACTTGAGTGAAAAAGTTTTAGTAGGTTAATGAGTCATATAATCAGCATCAAAAAATCAATTCTAGGCAAACTATACCATTAACTGAATGTTTTATTTTCTGTAATTTATAATTATTCTATCACAGCCATTCATTGATGAAAATATATCTTAGGTCTCATGTAGATTAAATAAGTCTGTAGTACATAGCCTTGTCTTTAACTTGTCTTTATGTAAATTTAAAAGAATGATATTTAATTCATGCAAAGTGTGCTTAGTGGAAAAGAAAGTCCTCTGACAAGTTAATGGAATGCTGTGAAATGCATTTATAATACATTTAGAAATTCAGGATCAGTATGAAGCAACTAACAGGTGCTTTCACAGGTCATTTAGTTCCTCTTCTTTTTCTGTCAGCATAGTGTCCAAAACATTTATGAAGATAAAACTGCTACACTTTCAGTTCGGGTTTATAGGGCGGGTGTATGGAAGTTTATTTTAGGCAAGAAGAAAATTCCGAGAACAGTTTGGGAGACAGCGTGAAAAATAGCAAATAAACATGTTATGGAAACCGATCTTGTCAAAGGTGACTAGATCTTACATTGGCCTTCATTATGGGAAATAGTTTGGAAATCGAATTCATAATGAAGTTTCTACCATTTCCGGGTAGAGGAGCATCTTACGTCTTTTGTGTTGTGTCCCTTGAGATACGTCTAGCTTGGAATCTTGTAATATTTATCGAATGCTACTATTTTGCACACATTTATAAAAATGAAGAATATAGTTGATACGAATCCCTCCCCAAAACCTCTGGGTAGATTTGACAGAAAAATATTATGGAGAGATTGAACAAAAGAGATACTGGGTCTGAGATGTATGTGTGTTGTAGATCCACATGGTTTATTCAGGAACTTCAGCAGAATGACTCGAAGAGGAAAACAGAGAAGGGAGATGATGAAAGATGCTCCAGAGACTGTCTTTCAGTAACTTCTGTTGTCACCTGTCTTAAGTGCGTGCGGGTGCAGGCTCACTCTCATGTGCTCTAGCTCTCTCACACACATGTGCAAAACTTCTGAAAAGACTGCTGTATAGTTATTGTCTCTTCCTTCTCCCCTCTTCCTCACCTTCCATTCTTTTTTCAGCCCATTCTAATGGGACTTTCTTTTCTGACGCTGCATTAAAATGGTTCTAATAAGGTTTACCAAAGACCTTTAGTCTTGCCAAATCTGGTGTCTTTTCTGTTTTTTTGTTTTTGGTGGTTTTTTTTTTTTTTTAACTTTTCAGCAGTCTTCCACATAACTGACCCCTATCGTGGCTCCTACTACTCCACACTCTTCTCGTTTTTCCCTCTGTTTAGCCATTTCTTTTCAACATCTTTTGATGGCTGTTGATGCTCTGTTTAACCTTTAAATACTGGGATTATGAAAGGCTCAGTCCTGAGCTTTCTTCTCCTTTCTTTCTCATTAAAGAAACGCTCTCCTTAAAGGATTCTAATTTATTTCTATGACTTTAAATACCCTCTTTGATGCCAATATACTAAAAAAAATTGTATCTCCTGCCCTGATTGCTATACTGAGCTCTAATTCGTATGTCCAGCTGTCTACTGGCCATCCTCACTTGGATATTTGAGAAGCATCTCAGACTCAACATAGCCAGAGCAGAACTCTTGATTCCTCAGCTCCCTCTGCCATCTTCCTTTTCCTGCTTCTTTTTTTTCCCACCTCAATAATTACCCCCAGTCAAGTGCTCAGTACAAAAATCTAGTCATTATTCTTGATTAATTTTTTTTCTGTCACCCCCATCACCATTGAATTCATTAGCAAGTCCTATTAACATTTTCTTTAAAATGTGTCTAAAGTCTGTTTCCCCTGCTTTCTTTGCCACCAGTATAGTCTAACGTAACATCGTATCTTGCCTGAGCAATCATAGTGGTCTTCTTTCTGTCCTTCCTCCGTCTTCTTCCTTTCCTGCTTGTCTATAATCTTTCTCAGTAGTGCTCACAATGACCTTTTAAAATATAAATTAGATAATCCCTGCACCTTCCCTTAAAACCTTCCATCGACTTCCATTACACCTAGAATACTGTGTGAATCCCTTATGCTATTTCAGTACTAATGTATCTGCCCCTGGGTTTCCAGTTTCAGTACTAATATATCTGCCCCTGGGTTTCCTGTCTGATGTATTGTTATACTTTGGATACATCCCCTTCACCACACCTCAGCCACACTGGCCTTCTTTCTGTCCCTTTAACCTATCAAGTTCATTTTCAGACAGAACCCATGCAGTTGCCAGTTCCTGTGCTTGTACTGCTTCGGTCTGCACGTCACAGTTCAAATGTCACCCCCACCCCAGAAAGGTCCTCTTTGACCACTCAGTCTAAAGGAGCTTCCCCTTACATCTACTAGATCATATTCTCCTTGGAGGATTTAGCATTATCTGAAGTATTTTTGTTCACTTATTTGTTTACCTGTTCATTGTCTCTCAGCTTTATGAGGAGAGGGTCCTTTTGCCAGTCTTGTTCCCTCTGGTAGGCAGTGTACAAAGAAAGAAGAAACAGAACCCCCAGAGAAAATGTGTCGAATGAAAGATGCTCGGAAGCATGCTTGTAAATAAAAGAATCTAAATCCTCTTACAGATGAGAAGTCTTTAAAATGAAAAGAATCCTTCAGTTCTTTTTAGTTTATAATTGAAGCTGATTATGAAAATAAGCCAGACTGAGTGCTATGATGTGATTAAGTTCATCCAAATGAAATTATAGAATTTAGCGATTCCAGCATATTGTAATTACTGAAGTATTCCATATTGGAAAGGACCATTTAGTGTACAAAATTCCAGTCAGCTGTGCTTGTCAGGTAAGGGAAAAATTAATGAAGAAGGAGGAAAACAGAGAAGGGGTAATAGTCCTACAAAGTGACTCTAAGGTTTGGTCAAATCTTTGTGTACCTTCAATACCTACAGTGTAGTCGTAGGTCCATAAGAAAAGCAACGAGTGTCACCTTTCTGGTGACACTGACTCCATTTTCAGTCTATACATAAGATGACAAAATGAGTAAATACTTTGTAAGGTGCTATATGCCTCCCCAAAGCAAGAGATCCAGGAACAAGAAGCTAAAATTATGGAGTTTGGAAGGTGTCTGAATTTTACAGGAGACTCTGGCTGCCTCTGTCTCTTCCAGTTCAATAGTTACCCCCAGTCAGGTGCTCAGGACCAAAATCAAGGCATCACCCTTGATTAATTCTTTCTATCATCCCCCACCACCATCCCCTTCATCAGCAAGTCCTGTTAGCATTCTGAGAACACCCTCACTATCTGGCAACACTGCTGTCTTCTTGGCTCACGGAAACAGTTGTGAGTAGTAATACATCTGGAGCCCGACGTCTTCCTTACGGTCACTTTTCTCCTCAGCCCTGGGTACAGGAGACTCTTGCCTGGACAGACCTCTGTTCCCCTCCCT